AAAGCGAAGTATGATAAAACTCACAAATCCATGTTAATGACAAAACTATGAACCTAATATTTCACAAAAGTGGTGGTGCACTTCATAAAGTACAGTTCAAACTTTACTTATTTTAAGGCTAGTTTATCCGCTTAAATTGTAATCAAATTCAAGTGACGCAGTTATAAATTATGTTGTTTATCATCTGCAACAACAATGTTGTTTTTATCATAGATAACGTGTTGTATCTTAGAAAAATTAGTGACATCTTTTGAAATAATAAAAAAGATCGCCTTTGTTTAAATGCTTGACAATATTTGCCCTTTAGTGGTTTTTTAACAAAATGATTTTAGGCCCACTGCGTTGAATGTGGAAATATTTTATGTAAATAAAAATTATTTATTAAAAATAAAAATAAATTATTATTTGCGGATTAATTATTATTTAAAAATAATTTATTATTTGTAAGCAAAACAAAAAATTCCAAAAAGAACTACTAAAATCCTACTTTGTAAAAAAAAAAAATTGTCCTTACTACAAATTCTGATAGAGGGGGAGGGAAAACGCCTCCTTGACCCCTCCCCCCATGACGTAGCCAATGTAAGTATACCCCAATGCCGTAGCCCATGTTCAATTATACTTGTTAATATATTATTCGCAAAGCACATTCATAAAAACTTTTGTAAGGCGTTTTAGGAAACTCGACTAACTTGAAGAATAAAAATATTAGTGAATAAAATATAAAAAGATTAGTAAATTTACGTTTCAATAGAAACTTGCTTTTAATAGAAAATTTATATTAATAGCAACTCTTTAAACAAAATGCATATTTTTTATAAAGCAAATTTAGGATGAAAAAATCTTTTTTATAGCTATTTTGTGCTGGTCTTTAAAATCTGGATCTGTGTTTTATATAATCTATAAGGTGTTATATCTTGGGAAGGAAATATTTTCAGCAAATGGTTTTCACTTACTTTTTGACGAGCTCTTTCCAATTATTTAGTTTTTTCTTTAATTTCTATATATTTTTTTGCTGATTGTAACAAGTTATGATCCCGGCCCAAAATGTTTTAGCACTCGTTTTTTTCTTCTTAGTTTTAACCTAGTTAAACAAGTTAAAAGCTAGCTAGACAAGTTAAAACCTAGTAAAAAAAAGTTAAAAGCAAAAAGTTGCTTCTAACACGCTTGTGCACACGAAAGTGCTAGTCGTAACATCGCAACCCTCACTATAAGTCTTTTGTTGATTTGACACTTGCTTCAAAGAAACTTATTTTAGATACCTCCTTAAAAGAAGATATATTAAAAATTGATATAACAGATCATTTTCCAATTTACTTTACAATAAAAAATAATACAAGAGTAAATATTAATTTGAAAAAAATAAAAGAAAAATAAATAGATTTTCCATTCAAAATTTTAAAGACACACTATCGGCAGTAGATTGGGTTGAAGTGTATCAAAAATGTAACCTTGGGAACACAAACTCTGCATATAATACTTTTACAGATATTTTTCTAAAGCACTATAATAATCATTTTCCAATCAAAGAAAAAGAAATCAAAGTAAAATATTTGAGCTGTCCGTGGATCACCAGCGGTATTAAAAAATCTTCTAAAACAAAACAAAAACTATACGTTAAAAATTTGAAAAACAGAAATGAGATTAACCTATCTACTTATAAACAATACAAAAACCTTTTCGAAAAAATCAAAAAACATTCTAAAAAAATTTACTACTCTAAATTACTTAAAAAACAAATGGAGACATGAAAAAAACATGAAACATTATGAAAGAAATAATCGGGAAAAAAAACAAAAAAACAAATAGTTTACCAGATAGAATCATTATAAATGAAACCGAACACGATGGTAAAAACTCAATTGCCGAACACTTCAACGATTTCTTTGCAAACATAGGCCCAAACATGGCGTCTAAAATTTTAACTACAAATGACTCCATTGAAAATTACCTTACAGATCTAAATAGCGAACTAATTTTCAATGGATTAAGCTATGAAGAACTTGAAAATGCAAAAAACTCTTTAAAAGTTAACAAAGCACCAGGAATTGATGAAATTTTTAGCAATGTAGTAATAAATATCTTTCCGATAATAAAAAAACTCCTCTTCGAAATATTTAAATCTTCAATTATAACAGGAACCGTTCCGGAGAAATTAAAAATTGCAAAGATTGTACCTATATATAAAACTGGAGAACCATATTTACTAAACAACTATAGACCAATCTCAATCCTTTCTGTATTCTCAAAACTTCTCGAACGAATAATTTATAATAAACTGTACATATATTTAACAAACAATAACATCTTAAATAAAAAACAGTTTGGATTTCAAAAACAACATGCAACCGAACCTGCAATCATAGATCTTGTAAATAGTATCAACTACTCATTTGATAATAATGAATTTGTTCTAAGAATCTTTATAGATCAATCAAAAGCATTCGATACTGTTGATCATGAAATCCTGCTCAAAAAAATGGAAAAAAATGGCGAAAAAAATGTTGCATTACTCTGATTTAAAATTTTTTTGCTTAACAGACAACAATGTGTAAATACTGATGAAAATATCTGTTCAAAAATGCTAAAGATCAAATGTGGCTTTCCCCAAGGTTCCATTCTAGCTCCCTTACTGTTTTTAATATACATTAATGATCTTCCGAAAGCCTCAAGCAAACTTGATGTCATAATGTTTGCAGATGACACTAATTTATTTTATTCATCCCCGTCAATTACAGAACTTTTTGAAACAACGAATATTGAACTCGAAAAACTTAATATTTGGCTAAAATCTAATAAACTATCTTTAAATACAGAAAAAACTAATTACATCTTATTCCATCCAAATCAAAAAAGAAAAAAACTACCAAATATATTGCCATTTCTAAGAATAAAAAACAAAAATATCGAAAAAACCACAACTATTTGACTATTTAAATACTAAAATAACCAAAAACATTGGCGTGCTATACAAAGCTAGGCCAATGTTATCCCAAGAAAATCTAAAACATCTTTATTTTTCATTTATACATACCTATTATACATATGGTAATATAGCATGGGCCAGTACCTATAAATCTAATTTAAAATCACTTTATCAACATCAAAAACATGCCATTAGAATTGTCTATAAAAAAGATAAACTCACTCATGCTGAACCTTTGTTTAAACTCCTAAATACACTAAACGTCTATAGAATTAACATTTTCGATCTTAATCATTAAAATGAGTTTCGGTCAGTTATTTTTCGATACTAATCATTTTTTCGATCAGCTAATTTTCGATACTATTCCGCTTTCCCATTTTTCACAGACAAATTAAAAGATATGTGTGATAAATTGAGTAGTTTATATTAATTAATATAATATTAATGAAAATGTAAAAAAAGAAAAATTGTGAATACTTAGTTATTTATAAATTGAGTAAGTGAAACCTTACGTCATACTCAATTTATTAATAAATATATTTGTATAAGAAGCTTTTTAATTTCTATATAAAAAGCTTGAAGATTAAAAACTGTATATTTCTAAATATGCCAATGAATTGGTTACCGGGAATGAATTAAAGAAAAAAAAATGCGAAGGACAGTGAATCTAAAACTATTCTAAAGTTATAAATCATTGTTAGTGACAAAATAAGTCAATTTAACCTTAATTCACATACTATCAAATTAATTGCATCTATGACAATTGTATTCCGACAAAATGTTTCGATTTCGAAATAGATTTGTCGTATTTGAAAAACAGTGCTCTTAGTTACGAAGAAAGTTTTGATTTTAAGCAAAAACTTATGATTTTAATTTACTTTGTTAAATTTCAACATATAATTAAATTTACATAAAGAGATTTTGTACTTTAAACTTTGAATGCAAATTTCTCAATTTAAACAGTGCCGTATAAAACACTTTTATTACGGGCTGACGATATGTATTCTGATATTTTTTAGTTTTGAGATGTTTTTTTTTGTTGATTACAAGTAAAAATTAATAAACGGGGAAGAGGGTCTTAATAAGCTAGGGGTTGGTGGGAAAAACTTACGAAAGTTAGTAAACGTTCTATCCCGTGTAGAGAGTGTACCTTAGAGTACAGTCATATGAACTTAACATTTAAACTAATTTTTATTTTAACTGTAATATTCACATGTCAAGACTTGAAAATTTAAAAAAATTTAGCTAATAAAAAGTTGATTTGTTTCGTTAACTATAAAAAATTCATTTACTTAATTATGTATTAAAATAGAAAACCTACAAAAAATTTATGTTTGGATTAAACTAAGCAGAAGAATCTTTTAATAATCAAAAATAAATAATAAACTCAACTTGACATGTTGACAGAATAAGGTTTAAGCTATGTAAAGAGGACATTATGAAAGCATACATTATGGTACAAACTTCCTGGAAACAATTGCGACTGCAACAGCAGCTCGAATTAAAAAAAAGCTACAATAAAAAAGGAACATTACTCTTAAATACCATATAAACGTCCCTGTCCATTTATTTAGCAACATAAATTCACAACATTTTTTCTAAACTACTCAGACCTTATTAAAACTTTTTTTTGTAATTATTTTAAGTTCTCTTACTATGAATTAGTAATTCATAGTATAAGAATTACGTACATTGACCCCCCCCCCCCACACTATCTTACTAAATTTAATCAATTACTATGAATTAGTATAATTAGTATCATCATCTTTGGGGATGTGAATATAAAAGAATCTTAAATTTAGCAATGAAAAAAAAAATGTAATAAGGCATGGGAGGCTAGAAAAAATATTGAAAAATAATCGCTTCATCATTCCACGATTTTAATTGGTAGATTTAACAGATTTTTATTCAACATATCTAAGACATTTCTTGTTTAAATAAAATTCAAAATTTCGTCCTGTTTTTGTACTATGAAGCATGCATCCGATTAAATATTTATAACATGTTGATTGTGTATTTATAACGTTTTCTGTAAGCAATTTCGTAAAAACAACTTATTAAAAAAAAAAAAACCAACTAGTATTAGTATAACATCATAATCACTGTACAACTCAACAATACAATTCAATAGTACTTTGACTTCTTTTATCACAGTTTAACACCGTATTCATTGCATAGTGATATAATATCTTGCGATGACACTTTCGAACAACTGCTGCTACAACTTTGTAGCAACTTTTTCAAGACTATTAAAAAAGTATAATACAATAATAATCTATATTACATGGCTAAAGAATTTTTACTTTGAAACAAAATTTACATTAAAAGGTTTTCTCAAAAAAGTAATCGATACTTTGATAATTTATTATCAATAGAATGCTATTAAAGATATCTAGAATCAACTTACGTGTTTTATCATGTTGAGATAAAAACATTGAAGCCATTTGAAAACGAGGAACTTTAGAGAATGACTTTAACTCTTCGTAAATAGGAAGATTATCTCTGGAAAAACAAACAAAATGCAATATTATTGTTAGCAGGGTGGGAGAGAGTTTTATACGAGTCTATGTGATTTATTTCAAAAACAACAAAACAATATCGACTGACTAAAAATAATTTGTGGTTGTTTATTTGGCACCTTATATTAACAGTTTATGTAAGTATCAGGAAATTTAGGTGTGTCTGTGCGTGTATATATATATATATATATATATATATATATATATATATATATATATATATATATATATATATATATATATATATATATATATATATATATATATATATATATATATTTATATAAAGCATAAAACAACAGCTGGATACCAACTAAAATTTTCTTCGTAATATTTTGACCCGTTTTTGCACAGATCGTTATCAGACGATTTGTGCAAAATGAAAAAACCCACAAATTATCAATTCAAAAGAGCGCTATTTAAATGGGAATGAATATAAGCATTATGGTGCTATTCAAAAAGTACATTACAAATGCTAGGTGAAGACGATTTCGACAAAAGAATGGAGCTTTGTGATATCATGTTGTCAAAGTTTGAAGAAAACTGATTAGAAAAAGTTTATTTGATCAATTCATGCTGAATTATATCATAAACCATCACAATTTGTTGGGCCTACTTTATTAGGCCAACTCTAATCATTAGAAACAAATACCTGTTTTATATTTTTTTATGATTTTTATTTTTTATTCAACGACACTATAAACTGTTTTTGTTATCTCCCAGGTCTACAAAATTAGACGGCTCTGTTGGTCACTTTTTGGAATCATTGTGTTGCATAAACAAATAAATATATAAAAACAGTTAAAACCCAAACCTCCAAGGGACCAAGGAAAATGCTTTAATTTAATAAATTAGCAAATTCCTGGTAAACTTTGGCTGATATGAGATATTAGTTCGAGCTAAAGCAATTTTTCTTTGATCTATGCATAATTATATACATTTACACCATTTACCATTGTTTCAATCAAAGAAGTTATGTATTGTATTTATGCAGTGCAGTCAAAAGATAACATTGGAAAAAGGTTAGCAACACAATGACTTCTTTATTATTTGGTAATAAAATTGTGTCTAAAAGGTCTTTACTTTAAAAATTCATCAAACTATAAATAGTTTTTAGTTGTTTTTTTAATGGTTTAATCATGATTTATCTTTGAACTGCTTTATTACAACTTTTATGTTTTCTTTTATTTAAATGATCTTTTCATTAAAATTCAATGATCGAAATAAAAAAATAAAGAAAATATTAGGCTACAGTTATTTATGCTTTATATGGAATAATTCTTTTATAAAAAAAATTTTAAAATCATGTCAATACAGTAGGGCCTCGCTTAGTCCGCACTTTGATCCAACTGCAGCAATGCGGACTTAACAGAAGGTGCGAAAATTTAGATAATTTACAATTTTTAGACAAATTCAATTCAAATCACAGTACTGAAAATTGAATTTACTAATGATGAATCTGGGGCTGAAATACCAAGTCTTGGAGATCAACATTCCAATAACTCAATTGACTCAATAATTAAATAATTCAATAAACTTTCAAGACTAAAATTTTTATTTATTTTTACAGAGTTGTCAGTTAAAGCTATCAACTGATTTTGATGGAATTAAAACCAAAACATGTTTGGTTGCAATCGATTAAGTTTGTCGCATAATTTTGCAAGTTCTAAAATAGTAAAGTTCAGTATGGCTTTCAATGGTTTCTTAAAAAAATTCAAATATAATATTCAGAATGATCCGTGCATTTTGCTGAATAAAACATGGACTTAAGCAAGAACCTACTGTATCTTTTAGAGCCTACTGTATCAATTAGACAATTTCAAGGGACCAAATGAAACAACTGGAAATAATAGAAGTATAAGTTAATGGGGAATTAACTGTTAAACTTAATAAGCCAATTGTGATAAATGTTCAGCTTCACTAAACTAAAAATGTTAAGCTTCACTTAACTAAAAATGTTAAGCTTCACTTAACTAAAAATGTTCAGCTTCACTAAACTAAAAATGCTCAGCAGACTAAAATAAACTACTTTGACATTAATTTTCAAATGTATAAAAAGAAATTAACAAGTACCTTAGATAGCAATTATGCAGCACTTGTATAAATGGTGAGATAAGACCATCAACACATTGCGAGAAAAGTTTATTATATAATGATGTAGGTATTATCTGTAAAAAGTTTAAAACAGCAAATAATTTTTTTTAATATAACACAATACTTTTGAAATAAAAATATCTGAAATGATATTTTCAAATATTATTATAGATATATATGTAAAATAATAATATTAACAATTTATTTCATAGTTTACTATTACCTTTATATATTCATATAATTGTTCTTCATCTTTTTTTATTTCTTTGAATTCAATTTCAAATATGAAAGATGAAGAAGGAACAGATAACTTTTTAACACTTTTTACAGCAGTAGGAGAGTAACTTAAAGTTGAGTTCCCCTCTGCTTTTTTTCTATCTTTATCAGTTAGTAGAGGTTGCCTAGCAATAATTTAAGTATAAAAAGAATTAATGGATATCAAAATAGATATAATGAAATTCAGTTTTTTTTATTAACTCATTTCACTCAACTCAGTTTGTTTGTTCATAAAATATTAAATAATAGATGTCAGTAAAGATACAGACTTGTTTAATGGAAGATTGCATGTCGTGTGATTAATTTCTTTACCAACTTCGGTTATGATAATGCGTTTAAGAGGTTTCTAAATTGATAGAAAATTTAAAAACTGATACACAGTTCACAAATTAATTAAGTAAATGAAAAAAAAAAAATTTTATTAAATAAAAAAAAACAAATAAATGATCTAACCTTACTTCGTTTTTTTTGTGGATCAATCATATTACTATTTTTCTTATCTGCATTTATTTTAGAAATCAGCTATAAAATTAGAGAATAAAGATAAGGAAATAAATAAATATAAGTTTATAAATGTTATAAAGAAATTAAAAGTAAAGAAAGAAAACAAAATCAATAGATTAGGTAATAATTTCTTTTTAAATAAATATACAGCTATGTATAAAAATTTAATCAAAATGGACATTTTTTAAAAAAATAATAAATATTAAAAATAAAGTAAAAATAAACTTAACTATTATCCAAATAAAAAAAAAGGATAATCAATAATTATAAATTCAAATAAAATTATTAGGATTAAGTGAAAAACTTGAAAAATTTTATTGAAATAATTGAATCGGTGTATGTTAAAAGGGCGGAAGTCTAATAATAAACTTTTGGGAAACTAAAAAAACCCTGCATTTTCCCCTGTATTATTTGGGAAACTAAAAGAAACCTGCATTTCCCCTTGGTTCAATAATTTTTTCTTTGAAGGTGAAAAACATTATCCTCTTCAAAAAAAAAATTATTAAACTATTAACAAAAATTGAGGGAAAATGCAGTTTTTTTTAGTTTCCCAAAAGTTTACATAGTTTGACTTCTGCCCTTAACATTCACCAATTCAATTATTTTTTATTTGCAATTTATTTTTACAGAAAAAAAAACTTATGCCTACTAAATCTATTGTTTGCAATATTTCTTTACTGCAAACCTGTGACGTAGATTCTTTGATTAGAATTAATTTAGAAAAACTTAATCACCATACCAAAACACATTTGCCTAATTTTCAACAGACCGATTCAAACGATTATCGCACCATATTTTGCATAAACCCTGACAAAGGTTCTTATTTTAAATGTAAGACTCAATAGCTTTTTACTTTTATACTAATGTTCTTCTAAGGAATTTGATGCTTTGATTTGAAAACGATTGGTTGAAAGCTTAAAGTAGCTTAATGTGACTGAGTCTAAACTTTTTCCTGCAAATGGAAATTTAAAATGTATACTTATTTTTAACAATTTTAAGCTATCATATCATTTTTTAATGTTAAAACTATTTTTTTTTTGCTTAGTTACATAAATAATTCTATCAATTAAATCAGTAATTAGTTACATAAATAATTAGTTACATAAATAATTCTATCAATTAAATCAGTAATTAATTACATAAATAATTAGTTACATAAATAATTCTATCAATTAAATCAATAATTAAATAAACAAATTAAATCAAGTACTAAAAATTGATAACTTAATTAAACTTACATGTCATCAGTAATATGGATTGTTACAATTATTTGGAAGATTATTTTATGTTTATTATTTATTGTTTAATGGAAGATTTTGATTGGAGAAATATTTTTTATGTTTGATGTTGTTTTATGAAAGATTTTGATTGGAGAAATATTTTTAAAGAAAATTTTGAATGGAGAAATATTTTATTCTTATTTAATATAAGCATAAATAAAAACAAACAAAAAAACTCTAAAACTTATTTCTGTTTTTACATTTTTTTAAATTTATTTTAATTTTAATTTCAATTTTTATTGTTTTTATTTTTTATAGACTTTATATAAAAAAGCTTTATTCATCAATTTTTAGCACCAAACAAACTCGCAATACTAGAATAGAGTAAATTTAGATTTAAAAATTTCTGTTTAAGATAAATCTGTCAAATTAACTTTAAATGAATCAAAAAATTAATTACAGATTTTTTATAATTCCACTTTTTATGCATAGCTGTATACAAATATAACAATTAAATTTACATAAAAAAAAGTTTCTTTAAATTTCAAAACTAAATGCTGAATAAACCTTTTTAATTTTTTCTTGTTCAGAAATGGCTTGTCGATTGTGAGGCTCAATACTTAATAGGTCTTCATAATCTTTAAGAGCATCTTCATATTTATGTAACTTTTCTCTTGCAGTAGCGCGTCTTGCAAGTGCTTTGGTATATTTTGGGTCCAGCTCGAGAGCAGTGGTGCAATCTGCTTCTGCAGAAGCATATCTATAATTTTTTAATTTTTTTAAAAAACTTTTGTACAATCTTTTACAATCAATAATAGAAATTCTTTGTTTTTTGTGCTTAATTAAAGTAAAAAACAACTGTGTGTGTGTGTGCGTGCGCGTGTGTGGATTGTTTTGGTTTTAATTTAATGATTCAAATTGAACAAATAAAAATCATGATTTAAATGAGATTACTTGATTTTAATTTATTTTTTAATAATATTGTTTACTTATTTATTTTACTAATATTTAAATATAAGCAAAAAATGTCATATTTAAATTATTATGAATTTATTAGTCATGACTGGTGCATTTAAATGCAAAAAAATGAAATCAGCAAACAATAATAATAAAAATATTTTTATTTTTATATACTATACAAATATAAAAAAAAGGTGTTTAGATGTCATATATATATAAAAGTTGTTTATACATCGTAAAGAAAAGGTAAAAAACAAAACAAAAACAAATGCTAAAATCCTGTTTAAACTAATAAATTCATAAAGTTATATAATGCACTATATAATTTTTATTTTTTATTGTGAGTTTTTTATCCAACTGTTTAAATTTTGTGTTTCACAATTTAAGATATTAACTAACGATTTTAACTTTCATTAAATCTACTTTTGTTACTAACAAATAAATTTCTTATAACAAATATATTTCTTTAAAGAGTTATATATTCAGAATTAAAAAAAAATAAATCATTTATAATTACTAATTTTTAGTTTAAATTATAACTTGAAGTAAAAAAGTTAATTTTTAGTTTAAATTATAACTTGAAGTAAAAAAGTTAATTTTTAGTTTAAATTATAACTTGAAGTAAAAAAGTTATTTGTTTAATTTTTTAAAAGATTAATATTCTTTTTAACTCATTTAGCAGCGCAAGCTCAAACTTACAATTTTTAACTCATTTAGCAGCGCAAGCTCAAACTTACAATTTTTAACTCATTTAGCAGCGCAAGCTCAAACTTACAATTTTTAACTCATTTAGCAGCGCAAGCTCAAACTTACAATTTTTAACTCATTTAGCAGCGCAAGCTCAAACTTACAATTTTTAACTCATTTAGCAGCGCAAGCTCAAACTTACAATTTTTAACTCATATAGCAGCGCAAGCTCAAACTTAGAATTTTTAACTCATTTAGCAGCGCAAGCTCAAACTTAGAATTTTTTCTGAATATTAAAAGAACTAATGTTCCTAAAAACACTCTTGAGACTCTAAGGTCTATATATGCCAGACTCTAAAACCTATCAAAAAGCTAGGCCTATCTACCCGCTATCTATTGTATTTAGTATATTATATCAAATTAATAAAAGTGGTGGGGTAGTATTACAACATGTTTGTTTTGAGCAGCAAAAGTTCACTATTAGACAAAGAAAACTCTGAGGGGCCAAATAAATGATTTTGCCTCTTTATTTGACAAAAAATCTTTAACATTTTTTTCAATATAAATTTTAACTAAATACTCTTATTACCAACATTCTTCTTCTCAATCAAAGCCAAACTAAGAAATTTTTGAGTATATATTTAATGAATATTAATTTTATCTTTTATTATCATTGCTTTTTTATATTACTGTGTTTATAAAACTATTATTACCTTTATTTTATACTGCCCTTTTTTAACTCTACTAATATTACTAATATTATCATTAATTTAATTTTGTTTTAGAAGCTTTATTAATATTATTTATAATGATTCCATTGTAGTAATAGTTTTATGATTATTGTCATAACTTTTACAAATGTTATGTTACTTTTATAATATCTGTCATATTTAACTTTACTATAATTATTTTTACCATTTTATTATTAATTATAATTTTTAGTAAAGTTATCATATTATAGCTACCATTTGTAATGTTTTTTTATTCATATTAATATTATTATTTTTATTATATTATTATTGCAATTATTAATATTATCTTTATTTATTAGCGCTTTATTTTCTTTTCTTTTTTTTCTTTTTTTCGTCTTTATATTTTATTTTAAATTCTTTCTCATGTTTTATTTATAGTTTATTTTTTCTGTTTTTTTTTTAGGTGTCACTCAATTGACTAGTTTGACTATATGAGTTAACTATATGAGTGACACCTAACCTTACTTATGTGAGTTTATAACGTATTATTGTAAATATTTTATATTTTATGCTTAAATAAATGAATTCAAAAAAAAACAACAAAAAAACAAAAAAAATACAAAAGGAATGTAAAAATCCTACAATTACCGCATGTAAAGTAAATAGCAACCCATTAACTAAAGCTTGAACTTTTAAGTAAACTATGTAACTTTATAATTATGCTATGTAACTTTATACTATTTAACTTTATAATTATGCTATGTAACTTTATAATTATGCTATTTAACTTTATAATTATGCTATGTAACTTTATAATTATGCTATGTAACTTTATAACTATGCAGTGTTTAAAAGAGATGCACAACCTTTATGTGGACTACAATTAGCAAATATTGCACAGATTTAAAAAACTTTGGAAAGTTTTTTAAATCTTTAGCAATATTTGCTAATTGTTAAAACTTGAAGGCCAATAACCACTTGATACTTAAAGATAAATTGAATTCAAATAAATTAGTAACCTCTCAACTTTTAGAAGAGCCATTCCACGATTTGCATATAGAATGGGATTTGTTGGATGCATTGTTATTGCATTAGTGTATCTGTTTATTGATGCTTCAAACTTACCTTCATTAAAAAGCTGGTTACCCTAAATGTTTTTAAAAAAAAACTAAAAAATACAGTAATACAAATAAATAAAATAATAATTTATAAATATAAAATGATGTATAATGATAAAATATAATAAAAAAAATAACAAATAATAAAAAACATTCCTACTACTTTATTTTTTTGCTTTTCTGGTGACAAATTATTTAATCAAACTAATTACTTAAATTTAAAAATTACATTTATATATTTATTTTTAAATAGAGAAGAAATTTAACGATAAAAACTTGTTGTGTTACTTATTTTTCACTTTAAAGTATTGGTTTATCAGAATGGCAATTTTTTATATTTAAAATATAATTTTAATTTACTAATATTCAAAATTTTCTAAATATGCATTCGCCAGAAATACTTTATTTATCTTCACAGCTAGGGTTGTTAATAAATCAGGTTTGGGTCAGTTATTAGGTACTAGGATTCAGTCTCACCTTGTATAGATGGGTCTGGGGTAGGTTGGGTATTAACAAATCCGTTCCCGAACCATACCTTATTTACTGGACAGATCTGGGTCCAGAACTGACCGGTATTGGTCATGTCAAAACAAAACTAGAGAGCAGCATTATAAAATTAGTTTTGGTCTAATTAATCCTTGTGACAACATGGCCTCCAAGAAGTATATGGTAATTGTGTCTTTGCTTTAATCCACTGGTAACCTAGATAAACTATTACATTCATTTCAGAAAAAAAAAATAGTGGGAACTCATGTGGAAGTTAAAAAGTCAGAATAATAAAATTTGCACAAAATGCATTAAAAACAAAGATTTATAGTCATTGGTTTTTTTGGTTGTCATTGGTATTCTTTTTGGTTTTCATTGGTATTCTTTTTGGTTATCATTGGTATTCTTTAGTTTATTATCTATTGTAATAAAAAATATATACATTAAAAATATTTTATAATGATTACTTAAATTAAGTCTTAAATTAAACCTGAATCACTCGGTTTTTAAATAGCTTTAGTGCCTTCCTCCTTTCAATTTACTTTTTATTTACACATTTTTGCCCAGAACTTATATTAGAAGAAATTTATTATTGAATATTTCATCTTATACAATGTGTCTGATTTTATGTCTAATGATAAAGTATCTTTGTGCACAAACAAAGTATTAAACATAAATATAATCTGAAAATACACAAAAGCTGTGAATACAAAAAACGCAATGGAACATAGATGAGAGACAAACAAATTATTGGGTGTTCCTTTTTTTATCTTTTCTTATATTTGAAATTTATAATTTTACATTTAATTATTGTGTCAAAACTCATTGAAGTGTAACCATGGAAATCTTAGTTTACACTACAAAACTTAAATTAAATATATTTAGATAATAATTGAAAATAAACTTCATTTTAATCACCATGGAAAGGTCTACTTGAATAGATTTGAAACTTAGTATAATAGAAGCTTTTATTGCGATCCATTTAAAAAAAAAAAATTTAAATAAAATTTAAAAAATAAATTTACATAATCAATTATTTAAAAAATAAACACATTTTATTGAAAGAGCTTATCATCAAGTAAACCAATTATGAGACCATTGCTATATAGCCAAAAATCAAGCAGCATATTTAGTAGCAGTATCTAAAAATAATATTACTAAGCAATCATACTTTAGCTTATTACTAAAATTTGCAAAAATACTTTTTAACCCAAGATGAAGTACAAAGTTTCAATTTAAACAACAACAACATTCAATCCATTTGTTATTTACTTTCCATTTGAACAACAGTCAAACAACATTCAATCCATTTGTTATTTACTTTATGGAAGAAAATAAGGTAAAATGTAAAAGTGTTTGTATAATTTTAGATCATTTGCAACCCAATACAAATTCAGTTTGTTTCATTTATGAAGTGATAAAACATTGAATAAGTTCATACCTTACTTCAATCATTACATTTATTTCAATGATGGTACAGGTTCACATTACAAAAATTATATCTAACTTATGTCACCATGGAAAAGATCATAAGGTGTATTTTACTCTATTTCACAGAAGAGGTACTTGTGATGGCACTCTGTCAAAAAACCTGTAGCAAAGGAAAGTTTACAATCACTAACAGATCCTATCAATTCACCTGAGAAAATGTATGACAAATTATATATAAGGAATACATTATCAATATATTTCTAACAATGCAACTATACTACATTGCATAAATTTTAAATTAGTATGTTATATTAATTTACGATATCATAAATTAATTATATTGTCGTTGTATTATCGCTACAAAATTTATAATAAAGATACCAAACAGTAAGGAAATAAGTGAAATGGAATAAAAGAGACATGAGGCTTAAAAGTAGAACACAATTCTTTCTTTTCATTTTCATCTAAAAAGCTGCTAATACATTTTATTTGCAGGCTATTTACCATCTAACTTTATTTTTATTTACCATTTAACTTTATTTTTATTTACCATCTAACTTTACAAACTCAATGTCACAGCTTTTATGTGTATGCTCAATAAATTTGTGCATATACATAAAATGCATCAACCTTTAGTTTTAAGCATTTGTTTTGGCATGTTAGTTTCCGAATTCAATTCTGAGTAATATCTTTGGAACATTATTCAGTAATTTTGTTACTTCTTCTTTCAACTGGTCCAAATCTTTTATTTCAATTATACCAAGATTGTGACCACAAACATTCTATGCAATCAAGATCTGAATTATTGTAATTTGAATTGAATTATTATAATTTTAATGTTGTTTTAATCAAACGATTGATTCCAAATCGCACCAGTATAACATGGAGCATGATCTTGTTGGAAGATTATTACAAGTGTTTTCGGAAAATGTCAATAGATGGCATTAAACAGTTATCCAATATGTCTAAATATCTTTGAGAACCAAGTCTTCCATCAAATTGAAGCAATTAACGCCTTCATAGTTCATGCATGTCTAGTAGTATGCTGCAGTAGATTGTAGTAGTATGCTGCAGAAGATTTTCAATTGTATTGTATTTGTAATACAGGTTAAATATTCTGCTAACAGTTGCATGTGTTATGTTTAAATGTTTCACAATTTCTCTAATTAAAATCTTTTACTCATTCGTTTCTATGACTTAATTTTTTTAAAGTTTATATTTTTAGAAAAATCAAAAAATTTAAATGATCATATCTCATGAACAACAAAAGGTTTTCTGTAGAAGCTTTAAGGAATTGCTTTTCTAATTAATATAAACCAACCTACCAAGTTTTAGTAAAATTTGAGGTGTCTTATGTTGACATAATATTTTGGTCTTTTAGGCATGAAATTACCTTAAATCTTTTTTGTGCATATATAAAAAATCCATCTAAAACTAACATTCGTAAGGGAATTATGACAATATCATTACAACTACTTGTTACTGTTCTAATGTTATCTAAGATAACTTCTATATAACTTCTTATTTGTATATTGTCAAGTGATTAATGTCATATACATCATTATGATTTATGTCATATACACAATTATGTATGCAATTTATGTCATATATGTCATATACAAGCTCATAAAATATGCAATGTCTTTTGTATTAGAATATTGAAATTCATAACGAATTTTTATTTTGGAATTATATTGGAAGTTTTTTATACAAGAATCTTTGAAAACTTGATGATTAAATACATTGACAACTATTGAAAATGGTTGAATAGCCCCTGGACTATTACTATATAAATAAATTTTGTTTTAAACACTTTTTTTCAGATTTAGAATTCAAAAAAAAAAAAAAAAAAACTTCTCCGTAATTTAAAAATTTATTTATGTAATAAATAAAATAGTTTAATCAATAAATAGTTGAAATATATTTATAACTATAATTTATATTTAATATTATACCTATAACAACTATAATGTAAGTTGAAAGACTTCTTTATTAAATATATATATTTTTAAGTTAACAGAGTAATTCTAACTATTTGGAAAACCCATATTTAACCTAGATAATTCTAACCATATAAATAACCTTTTTTAAACAAAGACCTGAAAATCTGAAAATTTTTAACTATAAATTAATATATAATTTTAAGTAACCAGGTAACAAGATTTATAACCTTTTCTTTTTCAATAATAGCATTTTGAATTCTTCGTTCTTTTTCTATTTTTCCTTGCTCTTCTTCATCTAAATCATCACTTTGATCTTCTTCATCTGAACTTTTACATGCATCATCCTAAAAGAGTGGAAAATAAAACTTTTACATGCATCATCCTAAAAGAGTGGAAAATAAAACTTTTTGTGTGTAATAACTAAAGATGTATAAAAACAAAAAATATGTATTTATCAACTTGACATCTCTACCAGTGATATTCAAGTTCTAAATATAATTTCTATATTGGCTTTTGTTCAGTTGTTGTAGCATTGATTCAATTTTTAATTTTGATTTTATAAAACAATTCTTATTTCGTTTTTAAATTAGTTTTTCTTATTTAATTTCTAATTTTGATTTTACTTAAAAAACAATTCTTATTTTAGTTTTGAATCAGTTTTTTGAATTTAATTTCTTTTTAGTTCTATTGATTCCAATACTTTTATGTTTTATTTCAGCTAATATTTCATTTCTATCAAATTTTTTACCAACTTTACCAAGATATTAATTAAGTGTTATGATTCAACTTCAAATCAACAATACTAAAGCAATGTAAACAAATTAAACAATGTAAGCAAGCAAATAAGCCATTGTAAAACAGCCATTCAATGATTCAATTGAATTGAGATAAGATTTTTTTGAAACCCAAAGAAAACATGATGAAAATGTGAAAATATTCTTGTTCAGTTTTATAAAAACTCTCTTCTCTAATGATCTTTTATCTGTATCTGTATTGACAACCATTTAATGAACACTATTTTGACGCAATTGTAGTTCAATTGGTTCTGCTGTCATTTTTTCTCTTTTTCCATGTACCTTTTGCGTTTTTATGTATTCTCCAAATTACTAGAATTTAGTAGCTCATCTTCATATATTCATAGACAAAGAATCTCTGTATAGTACTGTCACAATTCCTATCAGACAACAAAAAGCCTTGATAAAGTCATCTTTTTATGTTTAAATTTATAATAAATGATTATTTTGAATTAAATTGTTATGGAGCAAAAGACCATTATGTCAATGGGTCAATAGTCAAACATAAAAGAAATTCAAAATATGGCAAACAAGCCAGAAAGTTTGACCAGCTTTTCAGTCTGACTTAGCATCAACAATAAAGCAAGTATGTAAAATTGTCATACAAAAAAAATTCATACAAATTTTTGTTATTCAATAATTTTTTTTTTGTAATAATTCATAATTTTATTCCTATTTTTCTTTCTGATATTCAATTCTATTTCCATTTTCATTCTTCAGATAATTTTTAATTTCAGCTTTTATTCAAATTAATGAAATCAATTATTATTACTTTTAATTTTACTTATGTTAATCAAAATATTACTGATCTCTACAGACAATACTACATTGAACTATTTACTAAATGTAAGATATCTATCAAGTATATCAAGTAAAGTACCTACCAAATGTATCAAGCAAGGTAACAAACAAATGTAACAAGCAAGAAAGCAAACAAATACATAAAGATAAATAGCAACTAAATGTATCAAGCAGGGTATCTATTAAATGTATCAAGTAAAATATTTAAATTATCTACCAAATATTTTTTTAAATGTTTGGTAGATAATTTAAATTTATATTTTTTAAATAAGGCCTTAACTTTTTAATGGATTGCTTTGGAGTTATCTTATTATTGATTATTATTGATTGTTATTCATTATTGATTGTTATTGATATGTATTATACTCTTGAAGTCTTCAAAATTTGCTTTTTTAATCAAAGCACTTGAATTTTCTTGCAAGAGCGACTGACACTGAATTGTATTTTTATAGAAAATGAATAATTTTTATGTTAAAATCTTTTTTTTTGGTTTCTGCTTTTCTTTTCTTTTATATTTTTAGTCTTTTTATATTCCAACAAAATATTGTAATAGAAGATCTTTTTTCAAGCGTAAAAAAGCACAAAAAAATTCACACACTAAATTAAAATAAAAAAATACTGAAAGAACAATGTAATAATAATAATATATACAATAATTTATTACACCTAATAATAAATAAGATGATTCATACCACATTATACTTTTCCCAAGAATTGTAATCATAAGATTTTATTCGCACATCTTTTTTTGTTTCATTTTTTTTGCCAACTTCAGGTTTACTAGTGGTATTTAGTTTGGTTCGAACTGGTGGGAGCTAACAGAAGAAAAAAAAAGATTTGAATTATTAGATACATTTGCACCTAAGCTTTTAGTATTTAATCAATCTAAATATAATACAAACCATTCAAGACATTTCCGATAGCTTCTATAATCATTTTTAGACTAAGAGAAGAAACTCTTATAGATAGTATAAACTAGAAAGAGTATGTTGTTAAAAACAATTTATAGCAGCATTAATTTTGTCAGCATCTATTGCATTGGAGTATTAAAAGTATTATGTTGGATATAATGAGCTGCATGAGATATCCAGCTCTACAAAAGAATTCATGGTGCAATTATTTCAGCTGCTTTAGAACCATCTTGTTATGAGTTCAAATAGTGAAGTTTCACTAAACTTTGCTATTTAGAACTCATAAATTATGTTAAGCTCTAATTTTTATTTGCATTTTGCTTAATTTTTATTTGCATTTTGCTTTATTTTTTATTTCTCACAAAAAATAAAGACATCTAAACTTTTCATTTTGAGCATCATCTGTCAATACATTTCACGAATTTCAAAATTTTTGCTATTATAATAACAAAAACTAAAACAAAATTAAAAAAAACTTATTATGCATGGCATACATAGACACATAGACATATGCATATCATTTTCAGAAGTTATAATTCAATTTGAAATGGTAAGTACTGCTAAAACTGTTGTTTTCAACAGCTTTTATGGGTATTACACTAATCAAATTGGTTTAAGTATTAAAAATAACACGTTTAAGGAAAAGAAAGTTTTTTCATTTTTCCATGGAAAAAAAGCTGGAGTTTCAACTTAATTAAAACTAACTGCTTTTTTCCTGGAAAGATACTGTTGAGCATGGTAATCTTTTGCAATACTTTTAAATCAGTCAGGTTTTCCCTTTGTAGCTGAAAATATTTTTGAATTATATTTTCCCTAAACTTTCATTCATAGATTTTAACTGAACATATATAAATTTTAATCGAAACTATTTAGGAATAGTTTTTCTAAATATTATTTTCAGAGTTGCTAAAAAGCTATTATAAGTTATTTTAAATAGAAATCTTTCAAATAGTAACACCAAATTAAAATATTTTTAATACCTTTTAAATTTATGCTTAATAGTATTATTATACTTGAGGTATATGTACTATATTTTCTTTATGCTATTTAATTACCTGTTTTTCTAAACGATTTATATTTTTTAAATTCTTATCTTCGTTTTTTATATTTGCCTCCCAACGTTTAAGATCTTTGAGAAAATCAGATAAATCATTGCTATTTTCACGAATTTGAGTTTGGATTTCCGCGGCTTTAGATGCTGCCATATATTTTTATATTTAAATGTTTAAATTATATACTGACAATGATAACTTGACAAAAAAAATTACTTTTGATTATGGATACTAGCACTTTCAAATCGACAGTAATTTACAAAATGCTAATTGTTACTTAATGCAGTAATTTGATATTGTTTTTGTATGATTTCAGATTGACTTTACCCGGGTTTCATCACGGCGCACTAGTGACTCAGATCAGTAAAATTTGACATAAATCGTAAATAAACTTGTTAATCGTTGAAATAAATTTTTTGGGTCAAAGATTTGTGTTATTAAGACACAGAATTGGTACATCTATTTTTTTACATTATTCAAAGTTAAGAAAAAAGCATACTGTTGCATAAATTTGTTAAGCTATGTTATACATATAAAAAAAAAAAATCTTTCAGAAAATAATTTTTTGCTCCACTTTAACTAAAGATTGACACACATTGACACAGGGCCGACAACACCGTGGGGTAGAAGGGAGGGGGTGGGCAGGGGCACGTTCCCCCCTCCCCATACGCATTTTTTCTAAAGGACCCTTTTTTATTTTTAAGAAAAATCTTGATACAGAGGACTTTTTTCGTCGTGTCGTCGGCCCTGTGACATGTGCTGTCTAATATTTATTTTAATATCCTCTTTTAGATTTAAAAGAGGTTTATAAGCACAAAAAAAAGTCGCCTATTTGAATATAGTGGACCCTTTGGTCTTTGGGAAATAAAGAACCTCAAATTTTAAGTGAACTAATGACCAAAAACTACTAAGAATTAGTAGTCCACGCCAAGATCATTACATTAAAAGATAAAATGCTCGGGTATCAATTTAATTCGATGCTTGTAAATCTCTTATTGAAGTGAGTCGTATTACACTGATTTACATGAATATGTTTTATATGTTTACAAGATTTAGTCTTATATCATAAAGTTTTTTTTTATTACAATTATTTTCGTTCTTTTACAATTCAAGTTCGTACTCTGTGTAGTTAAGGCGATTTACAAAATATTTGAATACTTTTATTTGGAATTAATATGGTTTTGTCAGCATATTATGTCCGAACAAGATCTTTAAATGTTATAATTTTTTTTTGCTTTAGGTTTTTATAATATTTACAGAAACTTTTTTTTTATATATACAATTTTCAACACCTTTTTATTACCCGTAATAGTGAATCTAAAGAACACTATTTTGGAGTTTTTAGAACAATTCAACTCATCGGTATTAGCATGAATTTAGTTAAAGTCTTTCGAAAAAGTTCCTATATTTACTACTGATCTTAGTTCTAATCGGTTCTGACGTATATTAACTATATATAGTTGTCAAAACACAGTATTTCTATCAGTTATAATATCAGAGCTTATAATTATGGAAAATTGCCAATAAACGATCAGAACAAATCATATTGTTAAACTATAATGTGCATTTCACCTGTAAAAACGCATTAATATAAAATCTTATTCAAATTTGGACGAGCGATTGTGATTTTATGTGATTTAAAAAAAAAAAAAAAAAAAAAAGCGTAGCGTAGCGACAAAAGTTAGACCTCCTCGCAAAATTTTAACCAGGGACCTTAAACTACTTCTCTGCTAACCCCCTCCCCTCCCTTATGTTACACTATGTATGTCTAATATGTAGAAAATTTAATAAAGGTTTTTTTCTTGTCTTTATAGCTGCAAATTGGTGTATAACATCTTTTAAATTGGTTTACAACACCTTTTAAATTGGTCTATAACACCTTTTAAATTGGTGTATAATACCTTTAAAATTGGTGTATAGCACCTTTTAAATTCAATTGAGCTGCTATTTCTACTTCAGTAGCTATTAGGTGACAAAGTTATTTGCACCCTTGTTATTTCTAGATGTGTTTTAATGTGCTTAAGAATCTTTTTGCAGTTGCAACATTAATAGTCAAATATACATAAGTGCTGCTATTATATTTGTACAACCATAAGTTGCTCATTTGTAAATGAGCAACTTATATCATAATATGTTATTTTAGAGACGGGTAAAATGCAGAAATGCGGAAATTTTCAATGTGTAAAGTGCGAGAAAAAAGTGCGCAAAATTGCTGCCCCAACCAAAGCACTTAGTCAATGATGGTAAATTCAATCTTCTATAATACTATATATAACTTGAGAGCCATATTTTCATAAATGAAAGTTATTGTCTTTTTGCATACTAAGAATTTGTAAGGACTTTGACAACTGTTCGAAAATGTTATTTTTGAACTTTTTATGAAAATTTTATGAAATTATATTTCATAAAATATTTAACACCACTTGGCGTTACATGAAATAATGAATCCTAAACTACGCATTTTAGTAGACCTTTTTAAGGATTTATTTATTATACCTTTTTATCTTGTTTCCCACTTATTCCAAAATATCTTAATTTTAACACAAGTCTGTTTAAGGTAGAGAATCAGCACTTTGGCAAAATGGAGAAAACATTAATAAACTGGTGAAATGCTATAGAAGATGAAACAATGTTAAAAGTCTCTATTAGATTAGACACACATAATTTATGCTAAAGAAAGCCATATTGATTTGCAGAGAGAATTTTATTATCTTTAATGTGCTTAAAGATTCTTTTCTTAACAAGCAGTAGCGTAGCTACATTTTTAGCGCTTGGAGCGAGTAAAATTGATGCGCCCTCTCTTTTCTTACAGTTAGTTGAAAAAAGTAAATAAAAAAAAGAGTTGTATTTTTATTATAGAGTTTATATACAATATGGAATAGAAAGACCTCATAAGTTACTAATGTCCACTTTAAAGATATCAAAATGGTTGGCTGGCGATCCTGATGATAGTAATCCAATAGGAAAATAAAGTAAAAGATTAGGTTGGCAAATCTGATTTAAAATATCATTCAACATTGTCTTGTTTGGTGAAAGCCGTACGTTAAGTAATCTTTTGGTTTTTTGTGTTTACATTCTTCTAATTTGAAAAAAAAAAAAATGTTGTTTTACTTCAGCTTGTCTATTACACGTTTTACGTGTATTAGACAAGCTGGAGGAAGAACAAAGCCGAAAGTAATGTTGAGTAATTTTATAGTGTTGCTTGTATAAATATTATAATAATTAGTTAAAATAGCAGCTTTGTGTTTGGAAAATACGTAGATTAAACATGTGATTTGAAAGCTTTTAAAAGCTGTTATTTAATAAACTACTTTCTTAAAAGTTGATTGGATTAAATTTCAACAAATGTTTGAACTATCATAAAGTAATCAAAACAAAAATCATGATTAAGGTAAAGTAATCTTGTATACCTTGATATAAGGTATAAACATCAAAGTTTTAGACAATCTGTACTATCTATTTGAATCTTTTTTGCCTCCCCCCCCCCCCCCCATAGCTATAGGTTTAATACGTTCTTAAAAAACGTTATTTTGGCCAGAAATTTATAATGACTTTTTTTTTATTTATTGCCGAACCAATTTATCAATTACCAAATGCAAATTGCATATTTACCAAAATATGGATTACTCAACAGAAAATCTCCTTGTTGATATCAGTTGCAGCTATATTTTAAATATAAAAATGAAAAATCCCTATTTGTAAATCCAGCAAAAATACTTTATTTGGTGTGCCCATGATTTAGCATGAGCCTTCAAATCATGTAAAAAAACCTTTATTTTTGTATAACGAATGTTGCTGGATTCAACAAAAGGAGCAGGCACAAGATTCAATATCCTAATGTACCATCAGCCCTGACGTTTGTAGGCCACTGTGAAGACATTCCTGTGCTTATTTTTCCTATTCAGCTGAATGATACTGAATGTGATGACATCTCAAGTTCTGAAAATAGTGGTGATGTTCATAACTTTAGTGCAGAAATCACACTAAAACTTCTTATTCAGGAAGATTTTGATGATCTAGTTAGAGTTCTTCCAATGTCTTCTAGCTGAACTGCTTGCTTCAATTCCGCTTATTAGTTTGACGCCTTCTCACTCCTAAAACTTGTGTAAATAAGTACAGATATCGTGAAGCAGAAGTTGTACAGTTCTTTTCAAGTAAACTAGACTTATGTTGTTATAACACTGAATATTTATGGAAATTATTTACAATGCCAATCAGTGGAGATTTTTCTATATAATGGAAACTTCTATTTAATGAAAATACAGTATTATCACTTCTAGTGGCACTCTCAGAAACACGGAAAGAGACGTATGAAAACATGAAACCATCACATTAGAGTTTCAAGAAGAGTATGTAAAATTCCCATGTATTTTTGTGTCTCTGCGATTGCAGAACAGACTCTAAGCGTTATGCCAAGAATAAGTGATCACCAAGAAAAGATTTTACCCCAGGAAGTTATAGTGTCAAGTAATAGCCTTTGATAGAAGCACATTGAGTTTTCCTTACATCATTTCATATAAAAATGAGGTTTATAAAAGCTGTTTGTCAAAAGTATGAACCACATCGGCTCTGTATTTATATATTTGTTAGACAAATTTAAGTATAAGTGAAGAAAGGTTTAATGTCTTTGTTAAACCGCAGATAAAGAAAAGAAAAGTTAAAGTCTTTTTTGGACCGCAGATCCGAAAGGAAATGAAAGATGAGAAGTTAACATATAATTAGGACGCAGTTGAACTGGAAGTCTGAAATGCTTTCAAAGATGTTTTCTACAACTTCTTAGGTAACTTCAAGTTAGATTGTTGCGAAAGTCTTGTTAAAAACATCGTAGCCAAATTTCAGGCTTTAGGTTGCTGCATGAGTGTCAAACTGCATCTTGTGAAGAGCAGGGTGAAAGGTTGTGTAGTTAAACTTTGGTGTTTATTTTTGTAAGTTTAGTCTTTGTTTCTGTAACTTATATCTTTATTACCGTAACTTTAGCTTTTGTTTCTGTAACTTTAGTCTTTATTTCCATACTTTTAAACTTTGTTTCCGTAACTTCAATAGATATTTTTTTATAATTGCTTGATAAAATATGAATTTTGCTTTTTTATAAGCATTTTCATAAACACATTTAAAAGTTTGTTGTCCGAGAAGTATGAAAAAATTTCTTCAAACATTTTCGTGCAACCAAAATATTTGATTGATGGATTCCGTTTTTGAAGCAAATGAAAAACTTGCTATCAATCAATTTTAGGTGAACTGTATATACATATATATATATATATATATATATATATATATATATATATATATAT